CTGACCTGTTCGCATCCTTGGAGAGCTTGTCTTTGTACGCTATATAGTTCTCCCAATCTTGTAGATGAAAGTGGGTCTTGCTCCAGGTCATAGGATCGGACTTGGTCGTGTGAAGATGCGCAGCTCCAGTGCATCCTGGCAACTGCAATTTCTCTGTCCCCAATTCTTGTGCTACTAGGTAAGTCGTATTCCTTGTAGTGCTTCATCTCATCTCTAGCTTGTAAATCTGATTTGGTAACTGATGTAATTGGCTTTCTTGGAAGGTTGTCTGATCAGGGGTCACAATTGTTGTCTCGACTATGTACATCTGTCGTCCGAAGCATCGTTACTGTTGGTAATTTCTTGAATGCAATAACACAATTTGCCAAATTCCTTCTCTATTTCTTGTGCATACGCGTATTCTAGGCGGTTTGTTACATAGCCTTTGGGACCTCATATGGCCACTGGTGTCGCTGATCTCGCAACAGACACTAAATAACCTATTCGGATAGTATGGCGTCTCTGAATCGTTACTGGCTCTTCGCCGGATACTGTAGTATTCGGAGTTACTTGTTGGCAAACCTAGGTGTACATCAGACTTCTGATCTGCCTGAACGCGTCTTCATGATCCTGAGTCAATAATGCATTCGAAGTCTAATGTCCTTGATTCGCTAATGCAGGTCTCATCAAGTGGCTCTGTGGCTGAGGAAAAGTTCTTTAGATACTTTCCTACGTAGTGTCACCATCCCAATACTCTCTTATGTCTGGTATCAGACTTGGAGTTGTGGCATGTCCCATGACGCTGTAATTTCTGTTCGTCGCATCTCTTGTTCGCCATTTTCTGTGAACCTGTGTGCCGGATATTGTCACTTCATATGTCGCATAGTGTAGTATTCGGTCAGCGAAAATGTTACATTGTTTTTCTCTGCTCCTTACTAAGTGTCTCTCTTGAAAGAGTGGTCTTGTTTATGGTTCGTCTATTGTGTCTCGGCTGTATTAGGCAAATCATCACGATTTTTCCTACAGCCTTCTAATACTTCGTCGATGTCTCCGAATCCTTTGAAACAATTCTGGTGCGTGATGTGATGCCATTGCAATTTCTGTACGCAACATCTACGGCAAAGGGGTGTGTTGAAGACTGTGTAGTCCTTGGAGCGTATCGTCTAGCTAGTAGCTGGAAATATGCCTTGATTCGGCATCTACTACTGTAAAGTATCTGGACTTTACCACTCTTCTGTGCGACTATTCGTCTACTGTACTTGGTTGGGTGTAACTCCCTCTGTAGCGCTAGGTTTAAGTCTCTGGGGTCATTCGGTTAAGTACTTACTGTCCCATCCTTCTTGGGGATACATGTAGAGACTACACCATGGTGACTGGTGTACCATACTGGGACTCTCCTCAATAATTCATCGCAACGGAGTTGCTGGGCAGTTTCGCGTTGAACAGCTGCTGCGACGGGCTATGGGGACAGGGCGAGGGGTGTTTGTGCAACAGGGGTATGCATCCTGACTCAGCTTTAACATCAACTCATCACGGCACTTTTTCCTATAAACCTGAAACACTCTAATAAACTCATGAATGACATCTACGGCACTCTGTGGACAACTCTTGGATCGATTCTGGTCAGCTCAACATGCTTGTTTCAGCGCTGTTTGTTGCATGTACTGTCTCTTCACTGAATTCATAGTGAACTGTTTGGCAGTGACATAACAGATTCGGTATTTCACCATCTCCTGACTTCAACATGTATCTGGTGTTATTTGCCCTTGTGGCTTAACTTTACCACGCGTTACCCCAGTGTGTCACCCTCTGTCTTGAACCTAACCCAAAAAATACGCTGTGGTGCTCTAGTTAATGACTGGTTTGTGTCCTTAGAGACTCATAGGTTTTCATTGACAGCGTGTTTCACTTAGCGGCTGTATCATCTAAATTAACCATTTCATTGATCACCGTATCACATTAACAGTCCCATTGATGCCTTTGATCAGTGTCACTTAGTGTTAGCAGCCACACATCACACAAGTCAGTCTGCTCAGTGTCGGAGTTTCCTGTTCATTAAAATGGACACTGGGCCTGTTCTACTGGGTGTTTCTACAAACTTTCGCGAGTGATTTTGGCCTGCTACTATTGCACACGTTTTACGTGGTGAGGACATCTGTTCTGTGGATGAGATGACCCAGCAACTACAGCCTTGGTCACCACATTCACATGTCAACGGATAACTGAATTTCTGTGACCAGTAGCCTGTCCACGTCCCTGATCCTGAACTGAAGCGTTGAAGTTCCCACTGATGCTGCTGCTAGTGACGTGTCCCTTCTTCGTCGCGCCCACGAATTGTTTGGACTGGATTGATTCTAAACTCTTGGAGTTGGCAAGGTGGCAGTGTTGCTCACATTCTCACTTTCAGTTCGAAACTTTGACACTTTCTGATCACGTCCTTTAGTGACAGCTAGATCGTCATCCATAATTCCGCTTTGCGCCTCGTCCCTTACTCCATTGAGATCTGTACTGCGATCATGTCCTCTCCTTGTCACCAACTGACACAATGCTGTTGTTCACCAGGTCTGTTACATATTCTGCAATAGACTCATGCGGTCCTTGCATTCGACGCTGGAATTCGTGATGTATCTTTCACACTTCTTTTGGTTTGAATATCCGTTAAACTTTCCGATCACAATGTCATACTTGTCTTTGTCTTGCTGCTGTTGTAAATACAAAAATCGTTCTGGAAAACTTTGATGTATTGTTTTCCCATTGGTATACAAATTGAGACCTTCTGTTGGTCAGAAATGCTTGTCTGAACGCTAGCGACAAAGTACATTCTGAAATTCGCCTCGATACTCCTTCCACGCACTGCAAGGTTGGCCTTGTCTGCGTAGTGAGTACTTCGTGGAATGATACCTTGTACTGCCATTTCGATGTGAGTACTTCTCGTGCATGTATTGGGAGAACTCTACTTGCTTGATCCGTTTCTGACACCATGTTATGTTTTGGCCTCTGTCCAAGTGTTTCTGTGTATCTATTCAAGTGTTTCTGTGTAGGTTCACAAACAAAACATGCACGGCATTTTGGCGGTCACTCAACTCCTTTATTTTAGACTAGTCACGCCATCTCGTGGACGCAATGCATGACAAAAATGACGTTCGCGTCGTTTCATCGTCGCCGTTGCGAGCAAAGATCAATAGGCCTATATCTTCCCCGAAGATTCTTCGGCCGATCGTAGGCGTTCGGAAGGGGCAAGGGGCATGTCATCGAGAGATATGCATGGCAAAATCCTATCTAAAGTAATCACTTTGAGCGCAGCATTCCCTCGCAATTTCTTCCTATGTAATGTATATAAAATGTCGTTCGCATCGCTCGTCGCCGTTGCGAGCCAAGCTAAATAACTTCGGCCGATCTTAGATGTTCAGAATGGGCAGGAGCATGTCATTGAAAGATGTGCATGATAAGATCCGATCTACAATATTCACTGCCTGCAGTATCTCCATCGGCCATGTACATTCTGTACACCACTTGATCCTTACTTATTACAGGTAGCCGTTGCCTGCCAAGATAATTTTTTTCGGCCGATCTCATACGTTTAAATTGGCCACATGCAGGCGGGCCGACGGCACGTGTGCACGGTAAAATCCTATTCACAATATTCACTTTGCTCGCAGTATCGCGGCACGGTTCCCCCTATATATGCGAATGTACTTGAAAATGCGCTCGGACGTCGGTCACCGTTGACTGCCAGGATAATTTTCTTTGACCTATCTCATGCTACAGATTTCACTTTGCTTGCAACATCGCGCCACGGTTCCTCATAGGCCAATGTATGGCGCTCAGACGTCGGTCGCCGTTGACTGCCAAGATATTCGTCGTATTCCAAGTCGTATTCCTCGTCGTTACTAAGTCCATTCGTCGTATGCCAAGGTTTTCGTCGGTCGATCTCATGTATGTTCAAAGTGGTGACGGGCGGGCCGACGACACGTGTGAATGGTAAAATTCGTTCTACAATATTCACTTTGCTCGCAGCATTGCGCCATGGTTCCTCCTAGATGCTAATGTACTTAAAAATGCGCTCAGGCGTCGGTCGCCGTTGATTGCCACGACAGGTATAACAGGTATACCAGGTAGGTGTATCTGACACTCTACCCACTACCCCACCACCCCGAGAGGGGTAGCTAAACATCGCTACAGCTACACTGTCACATTATTAAAACGTTCTATGTTCGTGGAATAAAGGTTCTCCAGGCTTCTTCCCATCACGCCCGCTGACGTATTCTAGCTCGTCGGCTACGCGGGAACATTGACGGTGATGTCAAATGGTTTAATTTCAAGTTAAATATAATTCTTGTGAACCATTTGTCACTATTAACTCCTGATATTATATATATATGTACATCTCTGACTGGTATATTGCATCTCTTGATAGTATATTGCACCTCTTGGTGGTATATTGCAGTTCGTCTGCGTTGGGTTCGAGCATTCCGACCATTGGCTTCCTAGCACATGCTTATACCGATAGCTATTGTTGTAAGGATTGCTCTGCGGCAGGATCGCGGTAGAAAAGCGGCAGTTTGGTTCGCAACAGATCATCCGTAAAATGACCACTGCACCTATGATGTGTGTAATCGACGCGTGCACGTTCTCCGACAGTAGATTCGCGTTAGAAAGAATGTGGTAACGGAGCTAGGTCCAACTGAATTTTAGCTCCACGGATGGTTCGTTGAAATCGATTTTTATTTGTGAAGATGAAACGTAATAAACTAAACTCATTATAATTGGGAATTACGTGTAACAGATCCAGCAATCACATATAATATATTATTAATTACATTAATAATAATATTATTATTAAATTATATGTGATTGTTGAATCTTTTACACTTTTAGCTTATAGTATATTATATATTAGTATTTCATCATTTATTATTAAACTACAACTAATATACTGTATCTGCTTTCTTCCAAGTTTCCAAGAACTCGGTAATGACACAGAAATTCCTTTCAAAAAATGTTTTAATGAATAAAGCACGTGCTGGATATAATTCCGCCAAGTGAATAACTTGGTGTTTTTTTATTTATCACATTCATTTTAGTATTATTTACATTATTATTTTAGTTTTTTCACATTGCAAGGGCTGCTACAAATCGACTTCTGTGTCCTTGCTCAACGTCTCTATTTAAATAAACCATATAAATGCAAATAATCTTGTAAACTTTCGCATTGTGCGTTACTGCTATGATTTAATTTAGGATATTGTACATGTCAAGTACGCGCCCGAGCACATATAAACTTTATATAGACACAATATGTTGAATTTATATATTATTTAATTCATTATCAATCGAATACAATACAGAAAAAATAGTAACCATTAGAGAAATTCAATATAATAATAATAGTTTCGTTATCGTAATTTACGTAATCGCCATGATTTAATACCCCATATCATTTTCCCATATCATATGCTAATATATTATGATCAAAAGTATAGATTTCTACGAGAAGTACAACATTGCTAATAATAATATATAATCTAAACGTCTTCTCATATACTAGCTCTGCCTCAAGCGTGTATAATCTACCCGATGAATGAACCATACATACCCGGGAACGGTATAACAGGCACACCCATCAAGGGAGTAGAGGCGGCAACGTGTTGCCATGGGTACGGCGAACCGTGCATCCATGGCGACGCTGGATGCGGCTGCAGAGAGGCTTCTGCGCAAGGCACGTGACCGCTGACGTAGCTCGGTTGCGAGTATCGGCACGACATCTGACTTGTCTGCGCAGTCGCGTGATTCTCTTTGTCGGCATGTCGAAGCGCGTCCGCGTACCACGTCGGCATCACCCCCAGCGCGTCGTCCGTCGCGTACCGCTGCGTCTGCTCCGTCGTCACGCCGTACAGTGGCGCCCTTCCAGCGCACACCGTCGTCGCGTTGGCAAGCGTTGATGGCGTCGTCATGCCGCCGAACACATCTGCGCGCCCTCTGAAGCTCAGACCCAGCGGCGAGCCGTAACCGGAATCCGGTGTAGCCGGATACGGCCGGATCGGAGTCTGCGGAAGCTGCATCGGTGGTGGCGTCGCGGCGACGCTAGGCGAAACGGATTCCTGTATCTTGCGCAGGACCTCCGAATCGGAATCGGGATTTAGTTTTCTTCCCATGCGACCGCGAAATTTTCCCTGGAGAAAGCTGCCGACCTTAGATGAACAAAAATAAATGGTTATAGACTCGTGTTCATGAACCCCCTCAGTATGTCTATATATTTTTATTTCTTTATTTATATCGCAACTTCAACGCATGTGCCATTTTCCTAAATGTATTAACACGTAACATTTAACACTGAATATTTAAAGCTAATAGACCTATGAATAATCAATTTCTAACATTGCTGCTGCTTTCAACATGGACATAAAACTGGAGCTGTATAGTAAATTCACACTACGTGAAATGCTATGGAAATCTATATGCAACAGTAAGTGCAAGTTCTTTTCACAAACACCACGGATTCATGTGTCCTTCCGGATTAACCCGCACTCGTAAAATCCCCACCCTGCATGATTTATGACATGATAGAGAGAGAGAGAGAGAGAGAGAGAGAGAGAGAGAGAGAGAGAGAGAGATAGTATAGTATAGACTTCTGATAGTATGTAGTATATTCACATACAGTACAGTATATCAGTGCATAGCTGCACGTTCATAATGACGTACCTGTAATAACTATAAAATGTACAACTACTCTACATACCTTCTTCGGATGAATTCCCCAGTAGTGACCTCTTCCATTGTCTCTCCGCCCGACCTTCGTGAAGGCAGAATTCAGCGACAAATTGTGACGAACGCTGTTCTTCCACGTCGTGTCTTTCACCTTGGCGAAGTAGACGAAGTGCTTCTGAATGTAGGCGTAGATCTCATATAGCTGCATGCGGCCTTCGCGCGAGCTCAGGATCGCCATCGCTATGAGAGACGAATACGACAGATCGGGCTTCTTCTCCTCGTTCTCTGCTATGGTGGCTGCCGCAGCTGCCGTTGCATTCTCAGTCGGAGTCGGCTGCCGACTCATCGGCGACGACGACATCAGAGGTCTCCCTTCTGCCATGCTCTTCTTGGTAGTCTCCTTCGCGCTTGCGGTCGGTGGCTGCGTGTATACGTACGTGTACTCTTTCTCTCTCTCTCTGATGACGTCTGCCGAAAATCTGCCAATGTAAATCTGTTCCCGCGCGTTTCTTCGTTCGGCGCTCTCACTCTAGCGACGACGCGTGCACAACAGTGTGGTCAGTGACAACACTGAGTCGACGTGCGGCATCGCGCCTCGCTTTTATACGGAGGCAGTGTCGCGCAAACCGGCGTCACTACTCTGTTTACGGGAGTCGTGCGACGCAGCGTCCGCGACCGCTTTGCGGCGCGCCCTCGCGACCTGTTCGCGTCATCACCATGTGTACGAGGCGAGCCATCACGCGGGCGATCAGTGGCGGGTATTGTACTCAGTGCGTTGCTGACCATTGTGCAACAGTAATCTAACTGCGAGCGGACTATAAGCGTGTTTATCATATTTAAAGCAGTATTTAGACGATCTGCGATGCTCTCTCGTTAAAACGATGCAAAATTACGCGAGTTGAGAACGAGTTGGCAAAAGTAGAGAGAAGTTACATAGTCAACTTTGAAGGGGCGTAGGCAGCTAAACAAGTGTGTGTGTTTGTGGGGGGGGGTGCTTATTACAGTAGCAGTGGAACTTTATACTATCGAAGCATATAGGCTTATCGCTAGCGCCGTTAAGCACTAAGGGGGGGGGGTCTGGGTCTCCGAAAATTTAATGGCTCCAGGTGCGATTTCCCAACACTTTGAAATAGTATTTTTAGACGTGAACTGATGATTTTTTAATAACTTTTCGCCACATTACTGACTTCTGGACCCGATTTCACGAGAAAAATCAGTTTTCTCATTTAGAGTTAAATCTCTAAATTAATTCTCAGTTAAATCATTCAAAATTAGTTAATCCTTAAATCTCAATTTAGGTGTCATTGATTTGTAAAAGTTTAAATTAAGGATTTAAACTAATTCAGTGACTGTCACTTGCACCTGGTTTGAAACGGTTAATTTTATGTAAATAAATAAAGACTTTACACAATGCTATATTAATTATTTCTCATTTTATTCTCACAATACTGCGGGAATGATACATAATTATACATGTACTGAATAATAATGAGGATCGACGGAACTTTTCATTGTTGCTAATTTTGTTAATTTGTCTCAACACTCTACGTACCACCACCGGTATTTGGAATTCGAAATAGGGTTAACATAAATTTTTATATGCATTTGAGCGGAACTCAACCCCACTCCTCGCGATCCCACGGGGGGTAGAGGGGGTTCATCGATCCGAACCCCCCGCGGCTACGCCCTTGCCGTTTATATCCGTATATAGATATATGAGGCACTGCTTAATATTTCTTAGCGTAAAGTGCTGGGCCGATAAGAGGCGCTGTATATTTTCACAAACCATAGACTGAATAAAAGTCGACTGAACATGTGCGCAAACAAAAATAGTTCGGAAATTATATCTACAACATCGCGCTTGCACACTGCAAAGCCATTTTATTTCTTAAATTGTACGTTATTGACAATTATGTCGCTGTTATTTCCACTCCACCCCTCTTTCGTGTATGAGTTTGCGGTCCTATATCGCCGCGTCCACCCTTCTTTCTCTCTCTCTCTCTCGCTCTCTCTCTCTCTCTCTCTCTCTCTCTCTCCTCTCTCTCACTCTCTCTCGTCATATGTCCCTATCTCTCTCCCTCTTTTTTTCTTTCGATATGTTCTCTCTCTCTCTCTCTCTCTCTCTCTCTCTCTCTCTCTCTCTCTCTCTCTCTCTCTCACTCTCTCTCGATATGTCCCTATCTCTCTCCCTCTTTTTTTCTTTCGATATGTCTCTATCTCTCTCTCTCTCTCTACTCTCTCTCTCTCTCTCTCTCTCTCTCCCTCTCTTTTCTCCCTTAATATCTAATACCTCCGTTAATTACCTCATGTTTTCGCGTGGCGAAAAAATCAGATTTTGTGTCCTAGTTACCCTCGGTACAAACGGTAGTAAAGTTAGGTAGATAAAATATTAATTGAAGTCAACTTTTAATATGATTTTTCACATAAATATTTTAAATCTTTCCGAACGGTGAGCGTTGCAAAATATTCACCGACACTGTTTCTCTAAAAGTTTCTTCACAGCGTCTCTCCTTTACCACACCGCTTATTACGTGCCCATTCCACACACATATATATATATTAGATAGATTCGATAATTCCTTTTTATTTTATATAAATAGCAATTATAGCAATAGTAGGGCCTATTAGTAAAAATAAAATTTCTCAGGTACCTATATATAGCTAATACAGTGTAGATGAAATTCGATCCATGTTTTTAATAAGCCACTAATCTTTTAGCATTGCTAAAAGATTGTATTTCTAGTACGTAGGCGAAAAACGGGTGCTAGGATATCCTAATTGTTTAGGTGCGGATTAATGTGTGTTGACGTTTATTCGGTGATTAAACACCCGCATCTTGAACGCGGCGTTTACTTCGGGTCATAATATACAACTGGTTGTTTACACTTTTCCTCTAGATCCTCTTCGAACCCTTGCAACTATTATAGCCTCATGCATGCGTTTATTACTATCTAAACAGGTTAAGCTACAGCTAATAATCCATCACCAACGACGTGCCTTTGTCGCGGCAACGTGGTGCGCTGGTCACCCAGTGGATGCGTGTTCGACCTACCGCTTAACGAAACAATAGCAATAGCTGTGTGTGCCCGAGCTGCGCGCACCAGAAGCCAAGCTATGGAGCTTGGTGAATTGCCACGATTGAAAATCCACCGGAGCAGCTACAATAATACGGAGGGGAAATCACGTGCACTGTGTCCCGCGTAGACGCGGACAACATGGACGGCGTCGATTCTTTCGCTCATACACCCAATTCCCAACAACGTAAGCATCGCGCGTCATACTATTCACAACCACGTAAAGCATCGCGCGCGTCATACCCATCACAACCCACGTAAGCCATCGCGCGCTCGATCACCATCACCAACACGTAAGATCGCGCACTCCATCACCCATTTCACAACCACGGAAGCATCGCACTCTCATCACCCTCATAACCACGTAAGCATCGCGCGCTCATCACCCATCACAACACGTAAGCACTCGCGCACTCATCACCCAATCATAACCACGTAAGCATCCGCCGCTGCATAAACCAATTCACAAACCACCGTAAGCCATCGCACGCTCATCCAACACAATCACAACCACGTAAGCATCGCACGCTCATCACCCATCACAACCACGTAAGCATCGCGCGCTCATACCCATCATAACCACGTAAGCATCGCGCGCTCATACCCATCATAACCACGTAAGCATCGCACGCTCATCACCCATCATAACCACGTAAGCATCGACGCGCTCCATCACCATCACAACCACGTAAGCATCGCGCAACTCATCACCCATTCATAACCACTAAGCAGCGCACGTCATTCACCCATCACAACCACGTAGCATCGCGCGCTATACCCATCATAACCACGTAAGCCATCGCGCGCTAATACATTCACAAACCACGTAAGCATCGCACATACAATACAATACATAAATAAGAGAAACAAAACAAGAACAAAGACAGCATCAATACAACCAAAACAACAAAAACACACAGTAAGAATAAGCAAGCAGACAATCCATAATAACAAAAACAACACGTAAAAGACAATCAAGACACCAAAAGAATACAATAACCAATACAAAACCCACACCCCACCGCCCTCCACCAACGCACCTCCGCCACGCGCTCCCACTCCCGCCTTTCAAAGGCTCCTTGCGGCCGCTCAGCGTTCGCGCTCTCACGGTCTGTGCCCGACACAACGCTCTCACATTTTGTTGTATGCATTCTTACATCCAATGCCATGCATCGGCAACACAATTTGCGCGCACCTACCCCACAGGTTCCCGCCTCGAAGACCTACTTGATGGTTAATAAAACCGATGGATGTTGGTAGGCCGAAGGCTTCATTTCACTTCTGTCTCTTTCTGTGATAAATAGTAAAACTTGTTCTCAGGACGTTATAACGAAGAATAAAATGCGTCCCAAATAAACTGCACTAAAAAACTACTGTAATACAAATCTCTCATCGATATCCAGTCCAGCTATTCCTACTTACAGTGCCCGGCAAACCAACTACAAACACCGACAACGACAGATCGAACCAAATAACGACCACAATAATATCCCTCTTTCCCTTAGTGCGTCACGTAACGTTTTCCCATGGAATTTTGCCATAAATTTTATACAATGAAACGGATTGCATATTACTTGATATAGCATTAGCCCAGGCCAACCCTTCAATTCCGTATGCGCAACTTCTAGCAGCGCCTTCTCCCCGGGGGGTCAATCCGTTCAGCAGATGCGTACATATTCTGGCCAACCGTACGTACGTTAGTAGGCTTGTCAAAATACACTGGAAACGCCCGCAAGAACGCCATGAATCGCGCCATCTAAAACATTCGATCGGCCCGTAAAATGCGGGGAGTCACGTTATAGCGGGGGTGAGTTAATTATCGAGAAAATGTTGGAGTAATACGGAGCCAAGTGGCCCAATCGCGATTTGTCCGAATTTGTCTTTTTGGGCCCGCATTATATATATATACTAATATATCCGTTATAGCACGGGGGTTAACAAGCCGTTAAATTCTCGTTCAAGTCTTGGGCAGTTCCTCTCCTTAGTAGTCTGTTTTCGCCGAGTTTCTATATTTTATCGCCCTAATTACGACCAACAATACACCTTAAACATACAACCTATACGCGTGAAAATGAAAAGTAAAATCACGACAAGAGAAATGTCAAGAAAATGAGTTATGGCATGATCGCTTTATACATCCGATTTTATAATTCCGTTATTTTGGGCTTTCATAGTCAGACGGCTCTACTGATACATAACGCTCAGAATTCTCTAGCTCTTGAATAACATCTCTTCTGCTCCTAGACACGTTCGTGCGTTTATGTCAATTAAAAGCCCCCCCCCAGGTTGTACTATTTACATATCTCAACGCTAGCTAGCTCACTGTTGTCATTAATAATGGCGCAGGGGCCGGGCGTTCCCTCGGGCGGCTGATCCGCCGCTTTGTTCTATATCATCTTGGAGTATATACTATTCTAACAGGAATGATCTCGGTTCTAGCCGCGCGACAAAGATAATAACAAATGAAAACAATAAATAAATAGGTGGCCTAAAATAAAAATTATATATAAATTATATATA